ACTTGCTGTATTTTCTGTGTCTAAGAATTCAGACCAAGATGCTGGGCACGGAGACTCATGCCTAATAATCACAACACTGGGAGCTTGAGGCAGGAGGATTGTTGTGAATCCCAGGCCAGTCTGGGCTACATACAGAGTTACAGGCCAGTCTAGGCTACAGAATGAAACCGTGTCTCAAGAAATAAAAATTAAGAATCTGTGCCAAACTGGAAACAAGAGCTGTGTGTTAGACGGTGTCTCTGTCTTTTCTCTCTTCGTTGTCAATAAAAAACGCATGGGACCAAAACACTGGGGGACTGCTGAGTCCTGGAGTGAGACAGACAGTGGACTGCCGGAGTCCTGGAGTGAGACGGTGGACTGCCGAGTCCTGGAGTGAGACGGTGGACTGCTGAGTCCTAGAGTGAGACAGTGGACTGTTGAGTCCTGGAGTGAGACGGTGAACTGCCGAGTCCTGGAGTGAGACAGACAGTGGACTGCTGAGTCCTGGAGTGAGACGGTGGACTGCTGAGTCCTGGAGTGAGATGGTGGACTGCCGAGTCCTGGAGTGAGACGGTGTGGAGTTTGCCCCTTCGTGCCGATTATCAAGACACAGGTTTACAAGGTGTCTGCTCCAGGCTGTCTGCGCCTAACAAAAGGTGAAAAAGGAAGTCGCCACAGGGGTCTGGAGTCCAGAGGGTTCTTCCATGAGGTTCTAAAGATGGGGAAGCAAGACGGGGAGTAAAGGTGGAGTCCTGCACAGGACAGAACGATGGCTACCGTGGTCTCTTCCCACCTGGGACTAAATTAGTGACAGCGTCTAAAACAGCATGGGAGAAACAAATTAAATCTCAAGGACACCTGGGTCATGTGGGAAGAAAAATGAAAAGTAGTTATGAAAAACCAGGCGATGAGACTGTGTGTGAAGAGCAGGACAAGAAAATGATGCGGAAAACTCACGTGCTCCTCCCAGCCCCCAAAAGTCTAACACCTCCCCAAAGGGCGAAACGATCCAAATGCCAGCTCTAACTGGACTGAGATGCCTATGTAAACTGGACTCTCGTACTCCAGACACTTGAAACCCAAACCTTAAGATAAGCTAGGCATGTGGCACATTCTCTATTTCAAGCACAATGCTCAAAAATAAATTCCTGTTGTGCTTTTTTTCTCCTGGAAGGAATAAAACATCACTGACTCCAGAAGGCTTCTTCCCTAAGTTTCAGGGTAAACGTTCTGGGCTCTTTGACCTGGAGAAATTGTATCTATGAACTGAGACACGGGCATGGGGAAGGAGAATGCCCAAGTCATGCTGTTTCCAATTCCAATTCCCAATGATGATTAAAGCTGAATGCAAAAGAAAAAAAAGTGACCTTAAGAAAGAGGAAATCGCCGGGCATTGGTGGTGCACGCCTTTAATGCCAGCACTTGAGAGGCAGAGCCAGGTGGATCTCTGTGAGTTCGAGGCTAGCTTGGTCTAAGAGCGAGATCCAGGAAAGGCGCAAAGCTACACAGAGAAACCCTGTCTCGAAAAAAAAAAAAAAAAAAAAAAGAAGAAGAAAAAAAAGAAAAGAAAAGAAAGAAAGAGGAAATCAAGCCCAGGGTGGGGATGACACCTTTAATCCCAGCACTTGGGAGGCAGAGGCAGGTGGATCTCTGAGTTCAAGGCTAGAGTGGTCTATAGAGGGTGTTCCAGTACATACAGCACTACACAGAGAAACCCTGTCTGAGAGGGAGGGAGGGAGGAAGGGAAGGAGGGGGGAGGGAGAGGGAGGGAGGGAGAAAGAGAGAGAGGGGGAGGGAGAAGAAAAATCAAACTGCCAAAATGCATTCACTTTTTCCTTCACAGAAACCCAGTAGGTATGTAATATAAACACTGGCACAGGAGAAAGCACAAGGATCAGGAAGACAGTGACCTGGACGACACTGATTTCAGCACTGTGCTGCTTCCTGGTTTCATCTGCATCAAGAATCACAAGGTCACAGAGACTGGGACATTTAAAGGAACATTCAGAGTTATGGATCCAGCAAGGCCCTGAAACCCAATCAATGCCTTATGGAAACCTTCATCTTCCTGTTACAAAACCATTAAAGCTGAACACATGCCCACGTCATCCATTTACCTGAGGAGTTCAATGCGGGAGCCTAAACGCAGACTCACATGTAAGCTTTACTGCATTGGGGAGACAGAGATCTAATTGCCTATTTTCCTCTTTAAAGAAAACAAAACTACATTAAAAGCCAAGAAGTCTGTTGTTAGCTACACAGTTATACAAGCACAGTGACTCTCACTCACCACCCTAAGAAGCACAGGTAGAAAGGTTCCCACTGGGGAAGTGGCTGTTTGGAATCCTTACAGAAGGAGTCCAAAGGTCTTTCCCAGAACTCCAGACCAGGAAACAATGACCTCAAGAAAAGACTGGGATCAATCACCACCTTGACTGAAAACTGTGTCTTCTGTACACCTGACTTCAGCAATGAGCACCCAGGCTGCAGTTTCCTGCACATCCCCAAAGGGATTAAGATAACCTGTCTTCTCATCAGATGATTAAAAAAGGCAAAGGCAGATTTTGCTAACAGATTCCTATCATACAGACTGGGTCAATACTGGTACTTGGTGTCACAAGATTTAGGTTCAGATAAAGCCGCTTCAGGGCTAGAGATCAGAGAAGTCTAGATTTGCCAAGTCTACCCACTACTTCGTTCCGTCCGCAAAGGAGATTATGAATCGTGTGTAGATCGCATTCCTCAGCAGCAACGATTTACAAGTACCTTAGTCTGGGGACTGAGCAATGGTGTATGCAGCACCACAGTCTTGGGTGAAGACAGGAGACTGACTAGATGCCTTTTTTGCAGGGGAAGCTAACCCCCATGTTGCTAAGAGGTACTTGGCACAGTGTCCAAGATGTACTGTGCTCTCACCAGAAAACAGGATGGAGAAAACCAGAGTGAGGTTTTCAAAGGGACAGGAATTGACATTCCCAAGAGAGCTCTATACCCATCTGGCTTTTTTGTGCTACTTTATAATTAAGTTCTTACTCGGACGACTGTGTGTGCATGTATGAGTGCATGCCCATGTATGTGTATGCGGAGGCCTAGGTTCCTGTCAAGCACCTTTAAGGGATCTTTACATTTCTTTCAACCTTGTAAGATGATCAAATAGCTTTGTACCATTGGGAGGGAGGGTGTTTGCATATGTTAAGAACTGAATCCAGGACCTTACTTACAGCAAACGTGTGCTCTACCACTCAGCCATCCCCCTGCTCCTGTACTTGGACTGGAAAAGAGGCAGAACTCTTCACAGAACTCCACGATCTACTCTTCTACGCATCCTGCAGTGCCTTGGCTTCTGAACTATGTCTCACTACAGTTCTCTTCTTCAGATCTCATTCCCACTATTTGCTTTGGAAAATGGTGATCGGATACTGAGAACTAAATTGCAGGGACTATTCACACAGTAGGGCTGCAGTCTATCGTTCCTATCCAGTTGTCATTCTGTATGTCTGGACTTGCTACCTCACATCTGCCTCATTTAACTCCAGAAAAATCTTTTAGAGGGGAACTCCCAAGAGTAAATACTTTCATTCTACTTCTTATTTTTCTGTCCTCTTTATTCTTTTATTGGGACTAATCCCCATCAGAAAGCTATTTTCCTCTAAAGGAAAAAGAACAACAGAAACCATGACCAGTTCTACCCTCTCGGCACTCCTAGAACCTGTCACCCTAAGGAAAGAAGGCACCTGGAACATGGCCACAGGGACACGAACACTGCACACAGAAGATCTGTGGATTACAGAGCAAGGACTGTCCTACCAAGGCCTGGCAATGCCACACAGCACCGCTAAGAAGGTATCACCACAGGCCCCAAGAACTCAAAGAACTGCACCTAAACCTCTTCCCTAAAATAGAGACTGACAAAACGAATCATGTCTGTGGCCAGTCTGATCCTCCTCTCAAGTGGTGTTTCATAGGCGAGTGGAGAGGCATGCACAATTGTGAAAGCACGAGAAGTCAGCCAGCCTGGATTCCACTCCCAGGCCTCTGACTGACTGCCCACACACATGACACTGGACAAGCACTTCTCTCCACCTTTGTCTGCTTCCTCTTCTGTGAAGAGGTCCTCAGTGGTTGTTAGGATCAAATGAGAAAACGTTCTCCACACTGTGTCATATCGTAAGGGAAGGGGAGGTAACAGGCAGGCTCACCACCTGTTAACAGTCCTCACCACACCTATGCAACCAGACATGCCTGCCGAAGGTCACCTTGCAGCAGAATTGAAGTATGGGTGCTTTATATAAACAGTCCTTTTCATTTAATTTTACATAAAGGAATTCTCAATGTCCTCAAAATGGCCTCTGACTACTTTAAAATGTGATGGCACCCAAATCTATTATACTTTTCTCCAAAGATGCTCAATATAGTTATAATCTTTGTACAGAGTCTAGAATTCAAGATATATCACACTGAAACTTTTTAAAAAATCTTAAAACCCTTCCCAGATATAATTAAGACTGGTTTTAAAGAAGATCAAATGAAAATGAGAGGCATCGTGAACAGTAAGACTGGGTCCCAGTTCTTCAGGGGTCGTCTTTTCCTGAGCTCCAGGCCAGGGTCGTAGTCCTGCGAATGCTTTTGTCTTGCTAGAGGTGAAAGGACATGTCGGTTGGCAAATAGGCTGCGCTTTTCAGCACTAGGATTTGAACAAGGTCTGCTAGGAGCTGCCAAACAGCTTGGGTGGAGAAACCATGTGGCCTAAGGATAGCTCGCTAGTTCCCGGATGGCAGGCCAGAGTGTGGAGAAGAGCCAGCACACATACACCCAGCCAAGGGCTCTCAGCTCTTCCTGTAAGCGGCTCTGCTCTCCTCCATTCTAGTAAATGACTGAACAGGGAAAAGAAGGACAATGGAGCAATGTATCTCCCCAGGCTTCAGGACTCTGTCTGCAGAAAGCTCACAGGCAGAACAGGACACAGGGGCAGGAAGTGTGTGACTCTGACACAGACGTGACAAACTCAGAGCACCCGGATCTGGCATTCGTATCAGGCGACCTTTATTACGAGCGTTATATGATGACCTGGAAGTCAGCTCAGTGGAACCACTAGTTAACATGGTGGCTGTCCGTTGAGCCATGGGGGTGCTGCTAACCTCCACTTCTCTTCCTGCTTTGCTTTGTTTTCCGAGGCTTAAGGATGGTGTAGTTCACATACACTGTATACTGATCCGACAGGAAGGGCACGTAGAATGCCCGAAGCAGCTTTGAAGACCTGAAAGAGAAGAGAAAGGAGGGGATAGAAATTTCATCATTTTACTAATGGCTCTGGAAATAATCGAAAGAAACCAAGTGCTACATAAAGGATTATATTTTATATAAAAGAGAAAAGTCTACTATTCAGGTACCAGATCATGATAATAGGCCTTGCTACTCATGCCAAAAAAAAGTATATCTCCCTAATAGGCAGCCTTTCAAGAGCTATGGGTCTGCATTTTGCATTTGAACGTGACACACAAAAGTTACAAGGTATACAAAGTTCCAAATAATTTTTGCATCTAAACAATTACAGAAATGCCAAATGCTCAAACAATCCTGGTTCCAGCTCTAGCTTTTCCTAGAGAGACGAGGAAAACCGTGTCCTGGGTACCTGTGCAGTCCGCAGCAGTGCCTGAATCAAGAGGCTAGTCTACGTACGCACGAGCTCGGGCTAGCACAATTTGTTCTGGAAAATTCTCATGACTGAAGTATGAGAACTGGAAACAACCTACCATGGGGTTTTGAAGCATGTAAGTGATTTGGTTTTAAATTCGTTTATTCCATCCGATAAATCTATGAGAAAGGTGACAATGGTGTCCCTGTTTCACAGATGGAGAGCAGAGGCATAAACCTACTCAAGGTCATGCAGATTAAGCAGCTTGTTCAAGTTCACGTAGTAACTGATAAGAGCCTCATTCAGGTTAGATTATAGAATCTGCGAGCTTAACCATTATGGGTTATCCGACAGCCTATGGATTTATCCTTTCCTGGAAGAGGTAATAATGACAGCTTCAAACACATCAAGTATCACTTCCTGATTGAATGTTTCAGTCTGAAAATCCAAGTTGGCCCAGTTACTGATACCGGAAACGAGATAGCTGAAGGGTGTCCACGGCCAGTCCTTTTCCAGATTCTAAACTTGTAAATGTCATGTCGACGTGGCATTTGCACTGGCAGCCTACCTCTGGGCTTGGCAGACTGCTGAGATGCCTGCACACACAATGATACTGCACTTGGCAAACACACCTCTGAAAGATGTCCCAGCTGAGATGCTGGCAGTGGCCCGTGCTCAACAGAGACACACTTCACTTCAGCAGCCAACAGCTCAAGGGCTTGGAGAGAGAAAAGAGGCTTAGAGGAGACCTGCACACAAGGCAGGGCTCTCAGGAGCAGACCAAAAGGAAGAGGATGCACCTGTTCCAGACAAAAGAAGTCAATCCCCTCCTTCTGCTCACACGCACAGATAAGGTGATGCCTCACACCGGCACCAATTCCTTCAGGTCTGTGACCATTCCGGAAATGACTCCTGTTCGTTAACAGCAGGTATGCTCAGGTGGAGACAAGCCCTCAGTGTAACAACGGGGCCTGCAGAGTCAACTGTGGCGTTTCCTTCTGGAGCAGCTCGTGCAGATTCAGCACAGACTGAACCATGGAGGCACTTCTATCGGCCTTTGGCCTCCAATGGGCACAGTTCAGAATCCTTACTTCAGTATTTTCCATCTCTAAGGGTCATAAGAAAAGTGGGACAGAAAGACACTCTACAATTCCAAGACAAACCAGGTGTGTACGCGCGCGCACGCGCGCGCGCGCACACACACACACACACACACACACACACACACACACACACACACACTCAGAAGTGTACAGCACATGTCCAATGGCAATGAAACTGACAGGATAAGCAAATTTCACACTATGGTCTTTGGGTGGCAGTAAACCAGATGAATGTCCTCAAACTCAAGAACTGCTGAGTTGGGCCAGCACCTCCTGCCAAGCCTGGTGACCTGAGACTGATCCCCAGAACCCACTTGGTGGAAAAAGAGGAAAAAACCTCAAAAGTTCTCTTCTGACTTGCCCACATGCATCCTTCCCCCCTCAGGAACACACAAAATACATAATAAATGTGATTTTTTAAAAAAAGCATTAGTCAGTAGACAATATATTCCTAGCACAAAAAGGAAAGAGCATCCTCTCTGCCTCTCTGCTCAGTTCAGCTTCACCAGGAAAGATGTCGTCATGCAACATTTGCAATATGCCCCTGGATGACTCCTGTTATAATAAGGAGACACACCCTGTCCTTTCATTTTCCATGACAGTGTGTGTAAGATTGTATTTGGTATAGTTCACAAGTGAGTAAGCTAGAGGAAGGTCTACAATAACGACAGAGGGACATAGATGACAAAGACATCTTAAAAATCATTGACTAGCCAGGTGGTGGTGCACGCCTTTAATCCCAGCACTCGGGAGGCAGAGGCAGGCAGATCTCTGTGAGTTCAAGGCCAGCCTGCTCTACAAAGCAGTCTACAGCCAGGGCTACACAGAGAAACCCTGTCTCAGAAAAACAAAAAACAAACAAACAAACAAAACACTGACTAGTCTACTCTAAATACAAAATAAATAAATAAAATGTTTGAATTAGGAAACAAAGGAGTCATGTGACTCACCAAAGGCTTCACAAAAACACTCAAGTGCTGTTTTTGAATGAGAAGAACTAGGAGCAAAGATGCGCCAGACTTCATTAGTGATAGAGCCGGAACCCACAATCAGTCTTTCAGGATGGATGCGTCAGGTTCACGCACAACAGCTAGTGAGCAGTTGGCTGTAATCCGAGACATTATCCATTTCAGGAATAACACATGTGTATGTGTGTGTTCCCAACAAGTAGAACACAGAATACAAATTCAGACTGTATGGCCAGGTGTGACACCTTTGATGTCAGCACTTGGGAGGCAGAGGCAGAAGGAGTTCTGTGAGTTCAAGCCAAGTCCGGCCTATGTAGCAAGTTCCAAGCCAGAGTTATACGGTATACCCTGTCTCAAGAAACAAAACACAATAAAAATAAGTAAGTAAATTAAAACTTGAAAAAAAGAAAGAAAACACAATAAAAAACACCCAGTATGTGTGTGTATGTGTGCATGTGCGTGTTTATCCATAACCAAAAGAATATAGAAAAGTTGCTTCATGTATTATATATTTTTTAAGATTTATTATTTTTATGTGTACAAGTGTTGCCCTATATGTATGTGCATCATGTGCAAGTCTAGTGTCCAAATAGGCCAGAATAAGGCATTGGAACTGGAATTACAGGCAGTATTGAGCGATGATGTGGGTGCAGGGAACTGAGCCCAGGTCCTTTGTAAGAGCAGCAAGTACTCTTAACCAATGAGTCACCTCTCCAGTCCCCATTTATTATACTTTCAAATGAATCTTTCATTACCCTCCTAGTCCTACTTTTGTAAATAATTTATAAGATAACTAAAAAACAGACAGGGTCTGCTGGACCCAAGACAGTGACCATTTTCCTGGTGTGCTGACAGCGGACACCACAGTCCCACATATTTCAGAACACTGCTTCAGCTGCACACAGAACACACCATCACCAAAAGTACTAGACTAGACTGAAATGGAAGATCCACTATTGGTTATCGTTAGGTATAAAAGGCAAGCTCAAACAACAGAAAGATAAAAGAGATTGAGACAAAATACCTGTAGTCTACACAACAGAGGATTGCTATGTAGAGTATACAAAAGAGATTGAGACAAAATACCTGTAGTCTACACAACAGAGGATTGCTATGTAGAGTATACAAGCTTATAACTCAGGAAGACAAACAACTCAATAGGAAAAGCTACCAAGTGCTTGACTAGCAAAGAGAAATACAAATGGCTAATGTGACGTGACAAAATGCAAGCCTGGACACTAATTCAATAACCAGGCTTGCAAAAACTATCAAGCCTGCTGATAGCAAACACTGGTACAGAAGGAGGAAACATGTCAGCGAAGTTCAACCTACACAGCCACATGGATGGGCAAGATTAGCAGAATCAGTTAAAATAAACAGTGTGCTGAGCTGTTACTATGACTCATTTACTTTTTTGCTTCACAAATAATTTACTTTGTTTTCTATTATACCAGAAAATTTCAAACATACAAAGCAGCCAAAAATATGTTACTTATATACTTAAAAGGAATGGACAAATTTGTCTCAAATTCAGAAAAAAAGTTACTTTTTTTGTTTAGTTTTGCTTTGTTTTTGAGACAGGGTTTCTCTGTGTGTAGTCCTGGCTGTCCTGGAATTCACTCTGTACACCAGGCTTGCCTTGAACTCACACAGATCTGCCTGCCTCTGCCTCTGCTGGGATTAACGGCATGTGCCACCACTGCCCCACTACATTTTCTTTTTCAAAGACAGTGTCTCGCTGTGTAGCCCTCGCTGGCCTGGAACTCAGAGATCCACCTGCCTCAGCCTGAGATTAAAGGTGTGCACCACCATGCCTCACCTGGAAAACATCAAATTCTTAAAAAGCTAAACAAGTGAAAACAGTCAATATGGCAATTATGTATGAAGATTTGCATGCTTGCCACATAGACACAGTCCTTTTTCAATGGGCTAACGGTCTAGTTGAACATATTCATATCTGAATACAAATGATATAACCATAACTTAGTATATTTACTATTAAAGCACCAACACACAAGTTCAAAGTGATAATGTATCCATTCAGAAAAGAAGCCAAACTCTGAGACTGGCTAGAATGGGAACAGCATTTAGTCCACATCTTTCTATCTCACAGTCACCTCGCTGGAGGCTGTGCGGTTGTCTGAGAACACTGGTGACCCTTCTTCCACTTCCCCTGGCTCGGTGTACAGTCAGTCCTTTTCATTCTATCTTTCCCAATTTGTGTGTGCTTATTTGCTAACTTGTTGATTGTCTCTTTACTCCATGTTCAAGGACCGAGTATGTTTTACCTGTTCTACATGCCTGGTACTACTGTATGATGAAGAGCGTATGTGCTGGGAGGATGGATAGAGCGGTAGAGGACAGACTAGGTAAAGCTAGGTAAAGTAAGCAGGCAAAGGACATCATACAACCACACAGCACTGGGCACCATCAGGTGACAGGGCTTAGATAATGCAGGAATACAAGGATGGTGACCGACAACTCCTACTCCCAATGAGGAACTCCAAGTCCAAGAGGTTGTGGTTTGGGATAATCATCTTGTCAAGGACAA